CCGATATCCCTAAATGGAAGTATTCGAGTCGGATTGCCCGAATTTCCCAATGATGGGAGTCATCGGGCTCGATTATTGCTCCTATTCACTTGTGGGAGTAATAACGTCCGACTATAGTATTTTTTTCCAATCGTGGCAGTCGTCGAATCTGATCCCTTCCATGATTCCGTATTGGGAGTAACCGCGTCCGTTTTTTCAAGTATCCACTAACGGGAATCATCGAGTCCGATTACTTCTATTATCCCGACGTGGGAGTAGTCGAATCCGTAAAGTCCCATTACCCAATTATGGGAGTAATGGAGCTCGATTGCACCCATGGTCCCATGATGGGAGTGGTCGGGTCCGATCAGGTCCGATTACTCCCATCATCCATTAATTGGAGTAAGCGAGTGGGATTATTGTGATTTTCTTCCGGTGGGAGTAATCGACGTGCATTCCCCCTGCTGTCTACGCCCTGCCACCTCACGGCGTTCTCCATGTGCCGTGGTGGGCATCTCCCACGGTCTTGCGTGCACCTTCCCCGCTATCCATGCCCGGATGGCTGATGCCAGCAGCACTGCACCCTGCTCGATACCTGGATGCCCTGCCGCCGCGCGCACCCTTCACGCTTTGCCCGCCGCGTCGCCGCGCGCAGGGCCGCCACTGCCAAAACGTGTGTGTGTGTGTGTGTGTGTGTGTGCGTGTGTGTGCGTGTGGGTGTTGTGGCCAGGCCAGTGATGTCTCCTGGCCTTCACGCCCCCCCCCTCCTTCGCGCACGTGCCTCGGGCCACGGTGCCTGGCCCGCCTGTGGGCGCACCGGAGGCTCGTCGCCCTGCCCCGCCGTGCCGCGGGCTCGCAGGCGCTCCTGCTTCTCAGTGCGGGCCGCCGGTCCTGGCACGTGCTCGTTTTTTTTTCAGCGCCGCCTTGGCGCTCCCGGCGCAGCTCGTCTTGGCGGTGGGGCAGCTCTGCGGGGGAAGGTCAAGGGAAGGAGGAGGAGGGGGAGGAGGAGGGGGAGGAGGAGGAGGGGGACGAGGAGGGGAGGAGGGAGAGGAGGAAGGGGGGAGGAGGAGGAGGAGGAGGAGGAGGGGAGGAGAGGAGGAGGAGGAGGAGGAGAAGGAGGAGGAGGAGGAGGAGGAGGAGGAGGAGGAGGAGGAGGAGGAGGAGGAGGAGGAGGAGGAGGAGGAGGAGGAGGAGGAGAGGAGGAGGAGGAGGAGGAGGAGGAGGAGGAGGAGGAGGAGGAGGAGGAGGAGGAGGAGGAGGAGGAGGAGGAGAGGAGGAGGAGGAGGAGGAGGAGGAGGAGGAGGAGGAGGAGGAGGAGGCGGAGGAGGAGGAGGAGGAGGAGGAGGAGGAGGAGGAGGAGGAGGAGGAGGAGGAGGAGGAGGAGGAGGAGAGGAGGAGGAGGAGGAGGAGGAGGAGGAGGAGGAGGAGGTAGAGGAGGAGGAGGAGGAGGAGGAGGAGGTGGAGGAGGAGGAGGAGGAGGAGGAGGAGGAGGAGGAGGAGGAGGAGGGAGGAGAGGACGGAGGAGGAGGAGGAGGAGGAGGAGGAGGAGGAGGAGGAGGAGGAGGAGGAGGAGGAGGAGGAGGAGAGAGGCGGAGGAGGAGGAGGAGGAGGAGGAGGAGGGGAGGAGGAGGAGGAGAGGAGGAGGAGGAGGAGGAGGAGGAGGAGGAGGAGGAGGAGGAGGAGGAGGAGGAGGAGGAGGAGGAGGAGGAGGAGGAGGAGGAGGAGGAGGAGGAGGAGGAGGAGGAGGAGGCGGAGGAGGAGGACGAGGAGGAGGAGGAGGAGGAGGAGGAGGAGGAGGAGGAGGAGAGAGGAGGAGGAGGAGGAGAGGAGGAGGAGGAGGAGGAGGAGGCGGCGGAGGAGGTGGAGGAGGAGGAGGAGGCGGCGGAGGAGGAGGAGGAGAAGGAGGAGGAGAAGGAGGAGGAGGAGGGAGGAGGAGAGGCCAGGGGATTGGAGTCCCTGTGGGTTTCACACGATTTTTTACGATCTTTCACGTTGCTCCTCATCATTATTCCGATATTTCCTCTCTCGCTTTTTCTTTTTCTCTCTCTCTCAATCTCTCCCACTCCCTTTCCCATTCCCATTCCCATCCCCATTCCCAACACCATTACCATTACCATTCCAATCCCCATTCCCATTCCCATTCACATTACCATTACCATTTTATTGCCTTTACCTTTATCTTTATCTTTACCATTACCATTACCATTACCATTACCATGGCCATTACAATTGCCATTGTCATTGCCATTGCCATTCCCATTGTCATTGCCATTGCCATTGCCATTACCAGTGCCGTTGCCATTGCCATTACCATTACCATTGCCAGTCCCCACCCCGTTAACATTACCATTACCGTTACCATTACCATTACCAGTACCATTACCATTACCACTGTCATTACCATTGCCATTGCCATTCCCATTACCATTAGCCACTACCATTACCATTGCCATTACCATTAGCATTACCATTACCATTACCATTACCATTACCATTACCATTACCATTACCATTACCATTACCATTACCATTACCATTACCATTACCATTACCATTACCATTACCATTACCATTACCATTACCATTACCATTACCATTACCATTACCATTACCATTACCATTACCATTACCATTACCATTACCATTACCATTACCATTACCATTACCATTACCATTACCATTACCATTACCATTACCATTACCATTACCATTACCATTACCATTACCATTACCCATTACCATTACCATTACCATTACCATTACCATTACCATTACCATTACCATTACCATTACCATACCATTTACCATTACCATTACCATTACCATTACCATTACCATTACCATTACCATTACCATTACCATTACCATTACCATTACCATTACCATTACCATTACCATTACCATTACCATTACCATTACCATTACCATTACCATTACCATTACCATTACCATTACCATTACCATTACCATTATCATTACCATTACCATTACCATTACCGCTGCCATTACCATTACAATTCCCATTCCCATCACCATTGCCATTACCATTACCGTTACCAGTATCATTTCCATTACCATTACCATTATCATTGCCATTATCATTACCACTACAACTACCATTTCCATTCCCGTTCCCGTTCCAATTACCACTACGATTCCCATTCCCATTCCCATCCCCATTACCATTACCATTACCATTACCATGACCATGACCATTACCATTACCATTGCCATGGCCATTGCCATTGCCATTGCCATTGCCGTTGCCATTCCCATTGCCATTGCCATTGTCATTACATTTCCATTACCGTTGCCATCGCCATTACCATTCCCAGTGCCATTACCATTACCACTGTCATTGCCATTACCATTACCGTTACCGTTGCCATTACCATTCCCAGTGCCATTACCATTACCACTGACATTGCCATTACCATTACCATTGCAATTGCCATTCGCCACTACCATTACCATTGCCATTCGCAACTACCATTGCCATTACCATTGCCATTGCCATTGCCATTCGCCCTCACCATTACAATTGCCAGTACCATTACCATTCCGATTCACATTCCCATTCCCAATACGAATACCATTACCATTACCATTACCATTACCACTGCCATTGCCATTACCATTACCATTACCTTTACCTTTACCTTTACCTTTACCCTTAACCCTTACCATTCCCATTTCCGTTACCACTACCACTGCCATTTCCATTCCCGTTCCCATTCTCATTCCCATTCCCATTCACATTCCCATTCCCGTTCCCATTCCCATTTACATTACCATTACCATTACCATTCCCGTTACCATTACCATTGCCATTGCCATTGCCATGGCCATTACCATTGCCATTGCCATTCCCATTGCCATTGCCATTGCCATTGCCATTGCCATTACCATTACCGTTGCCATTGTCATTGTCATTGCCATTGCCAGTCGTTACCCTGTTACCACTATCATTACCGTTACCATTACCAGTACCATTACCATTTCCTCTGTCATTACCATTACCACTCGCATTGCCATTGCCATTGCCATCAGCCACCACCATTACCATTGCCAGTACCATTTCCATTGCCATTCCCATTCCCATGACTATTATCATTACCCTTACCATTATCAGATCCATTACCATTACCATTACCATTACCATTACCATTACCTTTACCTTTACCTCTACCTTTACCTTTACCCTTACCCTTATCAATCCCATTTCCGTTACCACTACCACTACCATTTCCATTCCCGTTCCCGTTCCCATTCCCATTCACCATTGCCATTACCATTACACTTACCATTGCCCTTGCCATTGCCATTGCCATGGCCATTACCATTGCCATTGCCATTGCCAATCCTATTGCCATTGCCATTACCATTACCGTTGCCATTGTCATTGTCATTGCCGTTGCCAATCGCTACCCCGTTACCATTACCATTACCGTTACCATTACCATTACCAGTACCATTACCATTACCTCTGTCATTACCATTACCATTACCATTACCATTACCATTGCCATTGCCATTGCCATTGCCATTGCCATTCGCCACTACCATTACCATTGCCAGTGCCATTCCCATTCTCATTCCCATTCCCATTCCCATTCCCATTCCCATTACCATTACCATTACCAGTACCATTACCATTACCATTACCATTACCATTACCATTACCATTACCATTACCATTACCATTACCATTACCATTACCATTACACTTACCATTACCATTACCATTACCGCTGCCATTACCATTAGAATTCCCATTCTCATTCCCATTCCCATTCCCAATACCATTACCATTTCCATTACCATTACCATTACCATTACCAGTGCCATTACCATTACCACTACCACTATCATTTCCATTCCCGTTCCCGTTCCCATTCCCACTCCCATTCCCATTCCCATTCCCATTACCATTACCATTACCACTGCCATTGCCATTACCATTACCATTACCATTACCTTTACCTCTACCTTTACCTTTACCCTTACAATTACCATTGCCATGGCCATGACCATTGCCATTGCCATTGCCATTGTCATTGCCATTCCCATTGCCATTGCCATTGCCATTGCCATTACCATTACCATTACCGTTGCCATTGCCATTGTCATTGCCTCGCTACCCCGTTACCACTATCATTACCGTAACCATTACCAGTACCATTACCATTACCACTGTCATTACCATTACCATTACCATTGCCATTGCCATTGCCATTGCCATTGCCATTCGAGGATTTCAGTAGGAATCATTCAGTGGAGAGTTTCAGTAGGAATCCACATGTGGAGGATTTCAGTAGGAATCATTCAGTGGAGGGTTTCGAAAGGAACCCTTCTGTCGAGGATTTCACTGTGAATCCTTCTTATGAGGGCGTTCAATAGGAATCCTTCTAGGGGGGGAGGGCAGAAGTGGCCATGTCGCATTTTTTTTTTTTTTTTTTTTGTTTTTATCCTGGGTCCCCCCCCCCCAGAAAAACATTTTTTTCTGGGGGGGGGACGCCATGAAAAAAAAAGGCAGAGAGGTAGGAGGAGGGGGAGAGGGAGGAGAGGAGGGAGGAGGAGGAGGAGGCGGAGGAGGAGGAGGAGGAGGAGGACGACACAGAGCAGAGTTTGCACAGGAACAGTCGCGAACTCAGCGCGAAAGCCTCGCGCGCGCGCTTTGGAACCACAGGGACTCCACAAATCCCCCGTTCTCGAGGAGGAGGCACAGAAACAGTCGCGAACTCAGCGCGAAAGCCTCGCGCGGAGGAGGAGGAGGAGGAGGAGGAGGAGGAGGAGGAGGAGGAGGAGGAGGAGGAGGAGGAGGAGGAGGAGGGGAGGAGGAGGAGGAGGAGGAGGAGGAGGAGGAGGAGAGGAGGAGGAGGAGGAGGAGGAGGAGGAGGAGGAGGAGGAGGAGGAGGAGGAGGAGGATAGACGGGCAACTTCAGGGGAGGACGTTTCGGGCTCGGGTCTGGAGGTTTTTCGGGCGTTGTCGTCGGCCCGCCGCGGCTTTCTGGCCTCGGCGTGCGCTCCGGCGGGTGCGCCTCGCCGAGCGCGCTCTGCGGTGCCCGGGTTGTGCCGAGCGGCCGCCGCCGGGTGGTCGACTTCGTGCCCGAAAGCCAGGGGACGTCGTTCGGGGAGGATTCAGGAGGTGAAAAAACACAGACACAACTAATCGTCGACTCCCCATAAAATATGGGAAAATATGGGAAGTGGGGGGGAAGACAAAAACCCAGAAAACATGGGAAACTATGGGGAATATCTTAATTGGTGTGTATTCATTTGTGTGTCCTGGGGCCCCTTCGTTCTTGCCCGAAAGCCAGGGGACGTCGTTAGGGGAGGATGGGCTCAGGGGGGGATGCATCGGCCCCCTCATCGCTCATTGACTGCCGACAGGGGGCTGATAGATCACCCCGCCAGGCACGCGCGGATTCGCTGTCGGGGGCCTGTCGCCGATCTATCGGCGACGCATCGCCGACTCCAGCTCGATGTTTCCCCATCTGGGCTGGTCCCCCGTATCGTTCTCCCTCAATGGGGGAGAAGGGGGCGGCGAGCGTGAACACCACGGGCTCTGTGCAGGGCCTGCAGATGGCATGCCTCGCCTGCACGCCGCTGCCTCTCGTCGCGACCGCCGTCACCACGGGTGGCCCGAGGGCGCTCCCGTCGTCAGGCGCGCGCGTCTCTGCTCCTCCTCGTGGTCGCACTTCCTCCTGCCTCCTGCCTCCTCTTGCCTCCTGCCTCTTCCCTGCCCCTCGCCATCCTCCTCCTCCTCCTCCTCCTCCTCCTCCTCCTCCTCCTCCTCCCCAGTCCGTGGCCAGACCTCCCCCTTCCGTCCCGCCACCTTCTCATCCCTTTTGCTGCTCCTCCCCCCTCCCCCCCTCTCTACCCTCCTGCTCCCCTGAAGCAGAGAACGCTGCAGCTTCTGCTGTCATTGCCATCTTTTTTGCACAGCGTCAGCTGGGGTCTGGCGTCTGCCGGCGCGCGAACCCGACGGGCTCGTGCTGTGTCGGTGCCACGTCGGGCCGTGCCGGTGCCGCGGGCGTGTCTCAGGATCGGCCGCCCGTGCGGGACGAGCGCACGTGCTGGTGCGGGTGTCGAGCTGGTGCGGGTGCCGTGCTTGACAGGAGGCCGAGTCGACACAACGGTAGTTGGCCTTCGGGCGCTCGGTCCCCTCCTCCTCCTCCTCTTGCTCCTCCTGCTCCTCCTCCTCCTCCTCCTCCTCCTGCTCCTCCTCCTGCTCCTCCTGCTCCTTCCTCCTCCTCCTCCTCTGGACGCAGGTCGGAAAGCTGGTGCGTTTAGGTCCGGGAAGGGGCCTGGGGACCGATTTTGAGCTGCCGTTGTCTCTGCTCGCCTGGCTCCGAGTGGTCGGGCTGCCCGCGCGTGCCGTGCCGCGGCGTGAGCCACTCAGAGGGGGGTCAAGTTCTGATCCGATCGCGCCTGCGCGCTCTGCCGCGAGGTGTCGTGCCGTGGTTCGGCTGCCCACGCGCGCGGTGCCGCGGCCGCGCCACGCCTCGCCGCGCCGTGGCGTGGTTCGGTTGCCCGCACTGTGCGGTGCCGCGCCGCGCTGTGCCGTGCCGTGGGTTGTGCTGCCCAAGCGGGTGATTCGGTCGCCTGCGCGTGCCGTGCCTCGGCCAAGGCACGCCCGGCCCTCTTGCGTCGTCGGGCAAGGGAAGTCGGTGGCGATCCTCGCGCACGCTGCTTGGGGTCGTGATGCTTTGAGGGGGTTCCACGGTGAACTCACGCCGTTCGGACCCCCAGCGTGCGAGGGAATGGGGCCACAGTGCCGTTTTTCATACATGCTCCGCGTGCGGATCATGTATTAAAAATGCAGGGATTTTGTACTAACAACAACGATGGGTTCATGCATAAATTTATTCATAGATTAGTCATGTATGAAAAATCCAAATTTTTTCAACATCCAATGCATTAAAAACTGCCCTGTACGAGGCGCCTGGAGGGAGGCGGGGAGGAGTGGCAGGGGGAGATGGTTGGAGGGGGGGCAGAGGGGGGGGGAGAGGGGGCACCGGCGCAGTGGGATGACACACGCGCTTTGTGCCCTGCAGGAGTCCTAGCCCATCACAAGTAATTGATCTTTAGCACCCCCCCGTCCTTTTTTCCAATGCCTCCCCCCCCTTCTTTCCAGTGGCCCCCCCCTCCCCCTCCCCTGTTTCCAGTGGCCCCCCCCTTATTTCCAGTGGCACGCCTTGTTTTCCCTTGCTTGCTTGCACTTGATCGCTTGCCCTTGCTTGCTCTTGCTTGCTCTTGCTTGCCCTTGCTTGCTTGCACTTGATCGCTGGCTCTTGCTTGCTTGTTATTGCTCGCTTGCGCTTGCTTGCTTCTGCTTGCTTGCTAGCGCTTGCTTGATTTTGCTCCTCCCGTCCTCCTCCCGTCCTGCTCCCCTCCTCCTCCTCTCGTCCTTGTCTTGTCCTCCTATCTATTTGGAGTCAACGCTGGCTGATATGTACATGTATTTGAATATGTATATGTATATGTATATGATTATGTATGTATGTATGTATGTAATGTAGTGTAGTGTAGTGTAATGTAATGTATGTAGGTGTGTATGTAATGCCATGCAATGTAATCTAATGTATGCCATGTAATGTAATATAATGTAATGCAATGCCATGCGCTGCCATGTAATGTATGTGGGTATGTATGAATGCATGCATGCATGTATGTATGTATGCTTGTATATATGTCTGTCTGTCTGTCTGTCTGTCTGTCTGTATGTATGTATGTATGTATGTATGCATGTATGTAATGCATGTAATGTAATGTAATGTAATGTAATGTATTGTAATGTAATGTAATGTAATGTAATGTAATGTGATGTGATGTGATGTGATGTGATGTAATGTGATGTGATGTAGTGTAGTGTAGTGTATTGTAATATAATATCTGTCTGTCTGCCTGTCTGCCTGTATGTATGCATGTATGCATGTATGTGTGTATGTACGTATGCATGTATGTATGTATGCTTGCATGCACGAATGCATGTATGTATGTATGTATGTATGTAGGTATGTATGTATGACTGTATGCATGCATGCATGCATGCATGCATGCATGCATGCATGCATGTATGTATGTATGTATGTATGTATGTATGTATGTATGTATGTATGTATGTATGTATGTATGTATGTAGCTATGTAGCTATGTATGTATGTATGTATGCATGCATGTATGTATGTATGTATGTATGTATGTATGTATGTATGTATGTATGCATATATGCATGTATATATGCATGCATGCATGCATGTATGTATGTATGTATGTATGCATGCATGCATGCATGCATGCATGCATGCATGCATGTATGTATGTATGTATGTATGTATGTATGTATATATATATATATATATATATAGATATCTCAAAATGGTTAGGGGGTTCCAGGGCCCCCAACGTGCACTGATTTGTCTTCCGGCCGTTTCGGGCCCGGCGGGGGGCGCCCAAAAACGCCAAAGGGGGCCAAGGGACGTCCAAGAGGGCGCCAACATGGCCCAAGAGCGCTCCAAGAGAGCCCAAGACCGCACAAAAACGTTTCAAAATTGGTCCAACATGGCTTGAATACAGCCCGAGAGGGCTTCAAGACGGCCCAGATGCCCTCGAAAGGACTCCCACTAGGCACTCAGGAGGCGAAGCAGGTGGGTTTTCTTGAGGGTTTTTGAAGAATTTTCGTGCTCTCGCTGTTTCGTGCTTCCGACGGTCCAAGACAGCCCACGAGGCCACAGAAATCAGCCCAAGACGGCCCAAGAGGCACCCAAAGAGGGCGCCACGACGGCGCAAGAGTCCCAAGACGGTCCAAGAGTGCCCCAAGACGGTCCAAGAGGCGCCCAAGATCGCCCAAGAGGGCCCCAAGGCGGCCCCAAGAGGGGCCCAAGAGGGGGAACACGAACCGACAATTCGAGCCTTCCGCCCCAAGAGGCCAAAATACGCCCCACGAGCACCCCAAACGGCCCCCAAGAGGCCTCCAAAACTGCCTTCAAGAGGCCCCCAGGAAGCCTCCCGCGAA